GGGAAAGAGGAATTGCTGGGGTTTTCCAGCAGTTCAGTCTAAAAAATTGCATTAAAGCAGGGGAAATGTTACTACTTAAACTTGAAGTTCGTTAAAAAGGCAATGTAAAAATGTTTAGTGATAACATCTCAGCTAGGGTGGATGGGCTCGTTAATATCCGAAGGTCACCGGTGCGTCTCAGTGGTCATGGTGGCTTGTTTAGCTTGCCATCAGTGAAAATGCCGTGTGTCGTGGCAAAGCGTTGCCTCTCGCAGAGTAGGTGAACAAACTTGGCAAAAACGTGACTTGCTGCTTACGGTGCCATTTTGAACTTTTGTCAGCATAACTCTTGGAAGCATCAGACCATGCATACAACAGTTTGAGATGTCTTTTGCACCCTTTCTATTTGCAGTTATCTCACCCTCTTCAGGAGTCAGCGCTGGGCCTCTTCCTTCCCCCCGTAGCGAGGTCTGTCCAGCTGCCTTCTCGTAGGTCTTCTGTAGGCTCGGATGACTGGAAGGGGAGGTACAGCTCAGTTATGCTTGCATGGTTTGGCAGGAAAGAACTTCAACAGTCACACCCAGCTTCTTACAGACACTGGCTGATGCTGCCCTCTGTTACCTTTTCAAAGCTAGCTGCATCACCTTGCACTTGCTGGTACCCCACAAGCTTCCCCAGACAACAGAAATCGCTCAGAATATATATCCCATGTAGTGGGTTCTCTGAAGGAGGTGGGATTTCAGTTTTGTCGATATCTCTTCTCTTTCGAGCTTGTCTGAGGTGCCCTTGAGAAGAAGAACCCAAACCACACCACAATAGCATTAATTTTCAGCTTGTTAAGTTGTCAGAGATTCCCTCGAGCTGCGTGTTGGCAGGATTTGTGGGACTTTAATATTGCACTCAGCATGAATAGGCTTTATCTGCAAAATCTGTCCTGCAGCTGCAGTGATTTTCTCGCTCCCTATCCCTGCCGGATGCAGCTCTGGCAGCGGAACCTGAGCACTACACCGTGTCTTAAGCCATGTCTCAGAAACACTATTCCCCTCTCTGTTCTGGTCCTAGTGCACAGGGATTTGGGTGTTTGGAATCAGAAATAACTCCTCGTTGCTCAGAAATTCACCATAAGATATTTGAGTGAGAATGCAAGGAGCAGTGCTGGAAATCAGTGGGGTTTAGACATCCGAGTCTCGGGCGTCCTTCAAAAGTCAATGGCAAGCCTCAGCTCAGCTTCCCTTGTGCCAGACGAGCACAGCTTCTAACCCCCCCGGCAGCAAAGGTCCACAGAAGACCCCATTTTGTAGCTTCTCTACATAGCCAGCCAGTCTTTCACGTGGGACTAAAGGCAAACCTTCATTCTCAAAGACAGAGGTCACGCCAGGCGGCTGGCAGTGTCTAACGGCCGCTCCGCGCGCGTGCGGCTGGCCTGGGTGCGCTGGGAGCACGCGCTGCGCCCAGAGCGATTCGGGAGATGGCTTGTACGAGTTTGCAAATCGCGGCAGGGGGGGGGAGGGTTAGCAGGTAGGTGATCCTCCTCCTCCTGACAGTCCTGAGGCAGGGCTGGGTTTAGTTTGATGCAGCACGACCCCACGTCCTGCAGGACTGGTGCGTGTGTGCTAAATGTGAATAGCCTGAACAAGCAAGAGGCTGCGATAATCGTTGTGCAGTGCTGATAGATAATCGTTGTGCAGTGCTGATAGATAATCGTTGTGCAGTCCCTGTCATCTTCACACAGCCCTTTGCTCAGTGAAGACGGGTGTCCCTCCTCACGTGCAAATCCCCGTGTGTGAGTCTCCTCATGGTTGTGAGACCCCTTAGCGGATCAGCGTCGTGACTTGGTTTGCTTCCCAGGAGTGCAGAGGCGCTTTCTTTGTGTTGTTAGTGGGTGTTGCTGACCAGGTGTATACATCAAAGTTCAGGTAATCAAGCCAACAGTTTGTGTCACATGCAAAACTCTTGAGGCAGAGACCACAGACTGGTTTTTAAGACAACACCTGCAATGGGCACCTTATCAAAACATTAAAATTCCCTGAAGTGCCCCTGCTGTGAAGGGCTTTGCAATGTTGAAGGCAGAAAAGACGAGACACTCCCAACATCGGAAATGTGAGTTTATTGTAGATGGCATCTGAGCTGTTTCCAGGCCTCAGGAGCTGTTCCCAGCTGTTAGCCAGGCTGGACGGGCTTCATCACTGGACCCGAAGTCTTCCTCGCTGGACCCTATGGATCATGCACTTTGGCATGCTCCCTTCTCTGATGAAGCATGTTAATTGGCTTCTTACTGATAGAGCCCAGTTACAAGAGGGAAGGGAAAAACTCCCATTTCCTCTGTGTTGAGGTAACTGAAAACAAATCGGAGAGGCGGGCAGTGCTGCTTTTGAAGAGTTAAGGTCATGCCAATGGAGGTCTGTGCGCAGCCATGGACGGGTGGCCCTTGCAGATGGATGAACTGCTATCCCTGTGTGTGCACTGAAATTGTGTACTTTGTCCTGGGAAATCCGTCCTTGTTTTCCACGGGGAGGAAGCTCCTCTGACCGCGCAGTCGGCGTAGCGGCACGGACCAAGAGCTCGGCTCCGCGACTGACCACGAGCGCCAGGCTGTTCCTAGTGGAGATGAGCGGGCGTGCGGTTTGGGGTGGTGATTGCCCTCAGATGAGTGGTGGTGTGCTGCCGAAGCCATTTCCTACCCTGTCACTGGAATCACTGCCCTACATTGATGGTATTTTTGTCACTGTGCAGAATCTTGGATTGTATTAAAAGGTGTTTGACTGTGGAGGCAACTGACTTTGTCCTTCATTCAGCTGTTTTCCTTCCTGTAGACCTGGGAGCAAATGTCATGCTCAAAGTGAGACATAAACCGCGGAGCACGCGTCCTCTCACGTGAGCTCATCACAACAGTGCGGTCACACGGTTCCTGACCCTTGTAGGAGATCTCACAACGCTTCCACTGAGATCAGGCCCCAAACCGGCTGTAAAAAGCCTTGGATTGGCAAATTCTGGAAGGAGCCAGAGAGCATGTTTTGCCCCAGCGCGGCCGGGGTTTAAAATGGAGCTTAGAGGCGTCTTCTGGCCACCAGCACGCCTGAGCCGTAGGTCAGGCCAGCAGGGCCGTCGCATCCTCTCCATGCAAACGCTGTCGCCAGCTCGGTTCCCGTCCCGCGGCCGCTGGTGGTCGGGCCGCTGGCAGCTCGGCCGGGGAACCGCTTGTTGGGAACTCGTATTTCTGTTCCCCTGGATGGCTTGGGTGTAACCGGGGTCTCTGCCCTGCCCACGTCCCTGGTAACAGCAGCGATGCTCTGCCACGGTTGAGTGTTTGTAGTTAGCAGCCCTGGCTTAGGCAAATATTCCTGTAACTCAAGCCTAGTCCTTGCCAGTGCCCGAAGCTTAAATGTGAGACCTGTGGGAACCAGAGGAACTTGCGGGTGTGGTTGGAGGATACCCAGATCCTCTGTGCAAAATGCCTTCGGAAACTGCCCCCGGGCAGCGACTGATGAAGTAAAAAAGCTGTTTGAGTTCCCAGTGAAATCCCACTGAATTCCTGGGATTTGAGGGAAACCCCTGGCAGGCAGGAGGGGGAAAAACCCACCACCACCATCTGCACCTCACACACAGCAGGGGCTCCTGTGCGGCCGTGCACGGGTGTTTCCAGGAGCCAAGCTGTGGTCTAAGGCGATGCTGTGTGGGAAGGCGGGCTTGGAGCCACAGGAACGGCTCACGGTGGCTTTCGCGCCCGCCCCGCGCTGCCCTGGCGAGGGTTTGCAGCTTACCAAGCCTGTGGCCACTAGAGGTTCCCCGTCGCCTGCTCCTCAGCTGCTTTCCCCCTCCGTTACAGATAAATCCATCCTTGCAAGCCAAAAGCCCCAGAATTCAGCGCAGGCTGTCGGGCCGAGTGCTGCTTTTTTCAAAGAATGGGAGTGGGTAGGAAGGGTATGAGTGCGCTCTCCTTGCTTGGTTTCCAAAAGCGACCTTTGCATTAAATACCATAAATCACAATTTTACAGCTCCCTGAAAGACCTTAAACTTCACAACGAAGGTGCCCAGGAGCAGGGAAGTGGCCCTGAGGGATCTCGAGGAGCTGAGCAGCGCAGGCTGCTGGGTTTGAACCTCGCTGCTGCCTTGAACTGCGTGGCCGAGGACCTGACCGGAGACGCTGCGCCTGACTGCATCGGGCGGGGGGAGCTCTTCGCCGTGCCCGGGGGGCTTGGCGCCGGGAGAGCGGTGGGTGACGTCTCCCCCGGCTGGGGGAGCCTCAGCTCCTGGGAAAGGGGGGCTCTCCCCTGCCTGGCCAGGGTGCTGCCGGACGGAGGAGTGCGATGCTTGCCGGTTGTGCCTTTTTTTTTCTGGATTTTCTATGTATGGCTTTTCTGTAAATGTGACCTGGGTACCTGCTTCCTTGGGAGGTGGTCTGTAACCCGCTGATGGCACCAGACTGCTTCTGGCAGCAAACTTGGGCTTTCCTGCCTTTTGGAGCACCCCGCTGGGTGTTCCCAGGCCCGCCTTGCTATGGCTCTTCCCAAGTACTGCC